CGAACAAATTCAATGCAATCTGCCATTGCTCGCCTTTTTCGCAGGCGCCAATGGCAGCTGTGCAGCTAAACATGTTTCGCTGTATCTTTGCCTTGGGCATGGTGTCCAACAAGCTAAGGGCATGCTGCCACAACTTCGACTTAGCCAAGGATGAAATCGCTGCACTGGAGCTTGCCTCAATTGCACGGCTTCCTTCTTGCGTCAGAGCCTGCAATAGTGCAAGCAAAAGATCCTCTTGCTTTTGCTGCGCCAAACAGTGCAAAACTTGTGTCAATTTCTCCTTTGTGTGCCTCACTTCGGGCAACAGGGTTGTTTCAATGTGTCTTGTGCTGACACCCTTGCACAACTTCACCACGGCAGCATCTACCATTGCTGGCGAGGAAAGGCTTTCAGGTTCACCTTGAGGCAGGAAATTAAGGACGCAAAACTAATTGACACATGGGTGCAGTTCCAAGCACGGGACCATTGTCATAATTACTTTGGTTCAATGTCTAAACTTTAAAGGTGTGTTGCCATTTTCTACTGAGGGTTTGGGGGGCTCACCTCATGCGTGCGGCAAACATGTTGCCAATGGAAACCTTTGTGACTATGTCCAAATCTCTGAAACAAAATACAGCTGAATCAGAACGAAGGGCTGGGATTGTCCAGCATTCGAGAACTTTCGCCCTTCGATACCACCGGAACCACCTGGATGATCTACGCAGCAACACCAAAGCACTGCGCAACGAAGCACCCAAAGGGCCCAACAAAACAAATCCCTTGTCCTGCCAAGCGTGTCTCTTTGCCTGGTTCCTCCGGCTTCTCTGGGGATCTAGGTATTGATTGGTGATCTTCAATTGGGTGTGGGTCAAAGCCGGGCTACCTGAGTTGACCCCCAAAAAAAAAAGAACAGAATGGTCAACCTACCCTGGTTTGTGGCTCCGGGTTTGGACCCACTGCCTGACCCCTGAGATCACTTCCAAGCACCAAAGTAGCCGTGCGTGAGGGCTGATCCGTCCGCTTCATGGCGGGAGACCCAGAAGCAAAAATAGAATAGAATAGACTACCAAAACATGGTCAACCTACCAGAGATTAGGATGATGAGGGATTTTGCGGCGCCTTTTTTTTTTGACCCAGCCATCTTGCTTGCAAAAGCGGCCTAGTACGCCAAACGCCATGTAAATATGGATGATTATGGCATAAATGCCCATACATTCACCCCTGAAACCACTCCAACGTATGTAAATATTCCACACATGGGGTCTTTGGGACACCGGCTGCCCCCCAAAACAATTACTTTACTTCGAGTGATCCCCACCATGACACTTCAATTGTTTTCATGCATGGTGAGGAGCATGTTGCCATGGTCGTGGGCTTTGTGGCTTTGGATTTTGCTTGTGGCCCCTCGGGTTTGGAGTTGTTACTTTAATGTTAAGGAGTTTGTCGGGGTGTCGCCAGGGTCTCTCGTTGGTTGTGTGTTTGTAGCTGTGTTTTCTGACTTGTGGTTGTGTTTGTGGTTATGTGTTTGTGGTTATGTGTTTGTGGTTGTGTGTTTGTGGCTGTGTGTTTACGTGGCTGTGTGTTGGTGATTGTGTTTGTGAATTGGTGTTTGTGAATGCGTGCTAGTGGTTGTCTGTGTGGTTGTGTGTTTGTGATTGTGTGTTTGTGTGTGTTTGTGGTTGTGCTTGTGAATGTGCGTTTGTGATTGTGCTTGTGGCTGTGCTTGTGCTTGTATGTTTGTGGTTGTATTTGTGAGTGTGTTTGTGGTTATGGTTGTGTTTGTGATTGCGTGTTTGTGGTTGTTTGTTTGTGGTTGTGCTTGTGGCTTGTCTGCTTTTGGTTGTTGCTGTGTATTGTGTATTGTGTGTCTGTGGTCATGTTGTGTGGTCGTGTGTTGTGTGTTGAGGTCCGGTAGTGCCCACTGTGATCTCTTGCGGTTGAGGTCCGGCAGGGAACACAGCCATCCGGAGCTGGCGGAGGAGGCGGAGGAGAAGGAGGAGGCAAAAGGCCGTTGACATCAAATCTAACCCTCACCTGACAGGTGGGGAAAACTCATCCTTGCCCACCCACCGAAGCCCCCCCCCGCACCCGACGGAATTTTCGTTCCGCCGCACTTGGGTCAGGTCTCCGGTGCAGTGAACTGCACCGGTGACGGAGCATCCGAGAGTGAGGTGCAACAGAAACAAACGAAACAGGAGCTTCTTGTTCAGTTGTTTTCTATATACATAAGAAGCAAACGAAACACTATACTGAGCTCTTCCAGTCAGGAAGACAGTACAGCAAGAGTAGAGACGCTGAAGTCTGACAAAGTGCAACGGCTTAGCTTTGTCAAAGACAAGCCTCTCCATGTCAATGGTGCTTGGGTGCTCGTTCCAAGCATGAATGTATAGTCCTGGTTGTCTCAAGGGTATTACATTAGGCGTCATCTTGTGGCGGCCCAAAAGCCACAGAATGAGACCTAATGCATGACCCTTCAAACCAATCCAATGGCCAGTTTCTCTGTTTTCCGACCCCCTCACCTGGCTGTGGCTGTGCCTGTGCCGAAGGAAAAAATCAGCGATTTCGGTGCCTCATGGTGACTGGATTGCGAGGCGAGGATCCAAGTCTTCCCCATGGAAGCCGTGGACCATCTGCGTGGAGCGGAGTCCTGGAGTCCTGGAAGTTCTTTTTTGTCTTAACCTGAGCATGATGATGAAGTACAGTCCCCTATCACATGACCCCAAATGTAAAATGTATAACTCTATGTGTATATAATATTATATAATTGTATAACTCATACATGAGAGGACTCCAAATGGGGACTAATATATGTAGGGACTCCAAGATACTCCAAGTACAGTCCCCCAATGTACTAACTCTTCCAGTCCGATGACTGGTTTGGGCTACTTGGCCCCACGAGCCCGCAGGCTCGGCTCCACGGCCAAGCTGGACATGGCCTCGAAGAAGATCAAGGCCTGCTGGTATTGCAGGCCCTTCTCACAAGCATTGATGACGCCCTTGTAGATCAACACATCCGGTTTAGCTGGCAGGTCTGCACCGCGCATGCGGACCCGCATGCTCTGGAAGACTGCCAAGGCCTGCTCCCAGTGGTTGCACTTCTCACAAGTGCCAATGGCAGCAGTGTAGCTGATGGCATTTGCGTTAAGGACACGCGCCCGCATGGCACTAAGCAGTGACAAGGCTTGCTGCCATAGACCTGCCACTTCACAGGAATGAATAGCAGCACTGTAGCTGACAAGACTATGCTCAATCTGTGCCTTGGGCATGGCCCAAAACAGCTCCAAAGCCACCTCCCATTCATTCGATGTGTCGCAAGCACTGATAGCAGCATTGTAGCTGATAACACCTGGCTGATGTTTTGCCATTGGCATCGCCTCAAGTAACATCAAGGCCTTTTGCCATTGCCAGCCCTTCTCGCAGGCACTGATGGCAGCACTGTAGCTAATGACATCCGGCAAAACTTTGACTTTGGACATGGCTTCACACAATGCCACTGCCTGCTGCCATTGTCCGCCTTTTTCACAGGCGCTGATAGCACTGTTGTAACTGACTACGTTTGGCAAAACCTTCTCTCGGGACATGGCGCAAAGCAGTGTCAAAGCTTGCTGCCATTGACCGCACTTCTCGCAGGCACTGATGGCAGCACTGTAGCTGATGACGTCTCGTTCGATGTCGATACCTGACATTGCATGAAGCAACTTCAATGCGTGCTGCCATTGGTTGCCCTTCTCACAGGCACTGATGACTGCACAGTAGCTAACTGTACTTGCTTGAACTTTTGTCTTGAACATGGTCGCCAGTAGTTTCAAAGCTATCTGCCACTGCCTATGTTTCTCACATGCGCTGATGACAGCGTTGAAGCTGACGATGTTTGGATTAATTTTCTCCTTGGGCATTCTGTCAAACAAATTCAAAGCTTGTCTCCATTGCCCGCCCTTCTCACAGGCACTGATGGCTGCGCTGTAGCTGAACACAGTGGTCTGAAGTGCTTCAAGATGCATTGCCTCAAACAAGTTCAATGCATTCTGCCAAAATCGTGACTTTGTACAGGACGAAATCCCCGCAGTGACCTCTGTCTCAGTCAGCTTGGTTCCTTCTTCCCTCATTGCTTCCAGCAAGGCCGCATACACAAGGTCACCTCTCCTCTGCTGCGAAAATACACTCAACACATCCTTCAAATGCTGACTTGTGTGTGTCCCGTTTCCCACAAGATGGTTCCAACGTTCCTTCTTCCACTTGCAGCTTTCCACAACATCGTCCGACAATCTGAAAGGCTTCTCGCCTTGGTTGTCAGCGTGGTGGTCGGCCATGGTCCTCTACAAACCATTGGTAATGGAGTTCCAGAGTTTGAATTCTCTTTGTGGGTTGAACTTACTGTCATTATGCAGCGCCAACTTGCATCTGCAAAAAAAGGACTAATTAGAGTCCGTATTCTTCTAGTACTATAGTCACCAGTTGCAAAGGGCAATCCTTTGGAGTGATATGGTTTTCTAACCAACATATATATCAGTTTGTCATCGTCCCAATCACATGTCCTAACCCCTTCCAAAACAAATTCCATGTCCAAACCCAAACATCTATCTTGAGCCTCATCAAGCGGAGGGAACATCACCCTTTGCATGCCAACAGGAACATTTGGATTGCAGTTTGACCCCGGAAGGATCGATCGTAATTGGGCTTATCCTTTCAGCGCCTTCTCAGGTTCCTAGACTTGTATAGGCTATTCAGTGCCCATACCTTTTAAACCCTGTCAGTGCTCATATTTGCTCTCCCTCTCACCCAAAAAGAAAGGTCCGTTGACAGAGTTCGTTTGAGGAGCTCAACCTTTCGAAGTCATTTGGGCGTGACCGTGCCCCGTGAGGATTTACGATTCCAACTCTCGCTCTCTGCAAGCAGCTAAAAAGAGAACAGCGCAAACGACCAGTGGACAAAAAAAATCACCAGGTTAAGGGGATTGACCCAGTTCAGGAACATCAAACCTGATCCGTCTTCAACCACAGTCGAGCAGAGCTTTTATGTGTGCCCTTTGTTTTACAGACCGCATAGAACTCTTCAGACCGTCCATACTGGTCCATACAGTACCTCTTGATATACTCCTACACTTCACAGTGTCTGGTGAGAAATCCTCTGAGGGGTCTTTGCCAAACCAGCACCCAGGCCGCCCCAGTGTCCACCGTCAAAGAGTTGAGTCTTTCCGCCGAAAAAAGGTGCAGGCCCGAACATAGAGGCGGTGGCCCGGCCAATCGAACACCGCTCCACATGCCTTTCCGAACCTTTGGACTCCTAGGACTCCTAGGACGCATGCGATGTCAACTGTCTGAAGCCAAGTATACAATACTTCTGGCAGAAAAGGATCTGAAAAGCGCGAGGGTCGTCTTTTCCCAGACACGGACTGATGTCACCTCAAACTGATGTGCTGGTGCCCCCAGCTGTCACGGCGCAGTTCCAGCTCCGAGTTTGACGCTGCGATTTCAAGCGGAGCAAGGCCTTGGAGCATATGTTCATAGAACTGCACTAGTCGGTATTGCCCACCAGTCTCACATGCCCTGATGGCACCATCAAGGCTAATGACATTGGGCAACACATCCAAGTGTCCTTGGTTGGGATGTCACATGAGCCTTTTTGGGGGAATGCCCCTACCAACCGGAGAGCAAAGAATACTGACGAAGAGTCTGTCTTTCTGCGTGGCGCGCCGGTCAGGGGTGCCAGGCTGAAGGACCGTCCAACTATCGGTTCCAGTCTCACCCAGGTCCAGTCTCCTCGTCCTGAACTAAACTCATGCTTGTAGAATTTGTGTGTGATGAACTTCAACAAAATCCGATCCTGACCTGTACAGCTCAACTACAAGGTTCTAAGAATTGAATGTTGATGGCTTCGAATCCATGGCTTCCCCTTTAAACCTTCCACCCAAGTGAACCAAAAGCCTGTGAGGAACACACTGAAAACCTCAGACACAAACATTTATGGGCACTCCAGTTGCCATGTGTTCAGAGGAGTGAAAAACATCTTGCAAGACATCATGACTAGTGAGTCAAAATTGAATCAACGCCCTGGAAAATAAATAAACACATCCAAAGAGTTGTGATATGTTTTTTTTTCTGGAAAACTCCATCATCTGCCTTACATCATCTTACATCCATTACTCTCCCTGGAACTAACATGGAAGTGGAAAACCACCTGTTTGTAGTGGAAAATGGTCTTCCAAGGGGCCATTCTCCACTTCCATGTTAGTTTTCAGGAGTGTACTGTATATATGTTGACCAACTGCTGACTCACACTGACTCATCAGATTCAAAATTCAAAGTCTCCTGCCACCGGTTGCTTGGGAGTCCTTGGGGTCCTGACGTGTGAACTGACGAGTTTCAAATAGTTATACGGCCCCATGGATGGTCTTTGTGGGCCTGGGTAAGAAACCTTTAAAACATCTATCACCTCTCCCAAGGGTCTCATCTGCTCGAAGATTGCCAAGACCTGTTGCCACTGCGTGGCTTTCCCACAAGAATCAATCAGTGCATTGTAGCTACAAACGTTGGGCGACAAGGCCAAGGGGGCCATCAAAGCAAAGATAGCCAACGCTTGCTGCCAATGCCTCAAACTTGCTGCACCAACGCCCAAAAAGCTGTGCCCGAACAGGGACCCTCTCTTTCGGGAATCCAAAAAACGAAAACAAAAGGACAGTTTTCTTATAATATCTTATAATATGTTGTATTTTTGCTATTTTGCTATCTACCATGATCTACCATACCGGTGTGTATTTGAATAGGGAGACCCGTTGGCTAAAGGGGTAGACTGGTCTATTTTCCGAACCGTCCAACGCTGGGAGGTCTCCCTACTTTAAGAAGCGCCCATGTCTTTGGCCTCTCAAAAGCCTGGTTCCTCCCAAAGTCTTGGGCAGCTGGAGAGAAACAAAATGAAACAAGCACAAAGCGTCATCTTGGAACAGCTAAGCTGCCCATCCCTCCCACAAGCATGAATGGCCGCAGTGTGGCAAATCACACTCGGCTGAAGCTTTTCGGAAAGCAAGGTGCAAAAGAAGTGCAACGCCTGTGGCCATTGTGTCCCCCTTTGACAGGAACTCATTGCCACGCTGTAACTGATGATGCTTGGAGCCACTTGGGCCTTTGGCATGGCCTGGAGTCATTGGGCCAACGAGGGGAAAGGGTGGAACCCAAGGGAGGCGACACATGACACGTCATGTGGTTTCACCGCTTTGAAAAAGCTCAGACCAAACAAATTGGGCCGGAAGAGTTACGTAAATCTATATACCGTTTTGTTCTGTATGCCCCATGAAAATGACCCATCAATCCATTGATGCGTAAGTGTTTCAGTCCCATTTGTTTGGTCTGGGAAAATGATTTTGCACGAATGCGCTATTCTAATATTCTATGAACAAGGACTTTGGACGGCCTCCAATACTGCCAATGATTTCTCCCAGTGCCCGCTCTTCTCACAGGCACTGGCAGCCGCACTGTAGCTCATCACATTTGGCGGGATTTCTGCCAAACGCATGTCTTCCAACAGCTTCAAAGCTTGCTGCCATTCTCCGCTGTTTTCACAGGCACTGATGCTTGCACTATAACTGACGACAGTGGGCAAAACTTTTGCTTTGGGCATGGCCCCAAGTAGCTTCAATGATTGCTGGTATTGCCCGCCCTTCTCAAAGGCACTAATGGCAGCATTGTAGGTAATCACATTGGGAGGGACCTCTACAATGTGCATGGCCCCAAACAGTGCCAATCCTATTTGCCACTGCCTTCCCTTCGCGCAGGCACTGATAGCTGCGCTGTAGCTGATGACATCCGGTGGAACTTTGGCTTTGGACATCGTCTCAAACAAAGCCAGTGCGTTCTGCCATTCTCCGTCCTTCTCACAAGCACTGATGGCGCTGTTGTAGCTGAATACATTGGGCAAAACTTTTGCTTCAGCCATCGTACCAAACAATGTCAAAGCTTGCTGCCATTGCCCGCCCTTCTCACAGGCACTGATGGCAGCACTGTAGCTGATGACTTCGGGCTGAAGGCTCGACTCTCTCATTAAACACAACAACCTCAGGGCTTGTGGCCATTCCCCATGTTTCTCACAAGCATTGATAGCAGCAGAGAAGCCAATGACTGTTGGCTCAACCTTTGCCTTTGCCATGCTCGCAAAGAATTCAAATGCTTCCTGCCATTGCCCTTGATTTGCACAGGCACTGATTGCTGCATTGTAGCTATTTGTACTTGCTTCAATACTGTTGGTCGACATGACTTGAAACAGCTGCAAGGCATGTTTCCATTGTCCGCCCTTTCCACAGGCGCTCATGAGAGCATTGTAGGTAACCACATTTGGCAATACCTTAGCGTTGCCCACGGCATCAAACACTACCAAGGCTTGCAACCATTTGTGGCCTTTTTCGCAGGCACTGATCGCGGCGCTGTAGCTAAAAACATTTGGTTTGATGTTTACCTGAAGTGCCACCTGACACATCAATGCTCCTTGCCATTGGCTGCCCTTTTCGCAGGCACTAATCGCTGTACTAAAGCTTACCACGCTTCTTTGAAGGTCTGCCTCTGGCATAGATCCATATAACCTCAAGGCTTGCTGCCATTGCCCGCCCTTCACAAAAGCACTGATAGCAGTGTTGTAGCTGACGACATCTCGTTGAACTTTGACAGCAACCATGGCCTCAAACAACACCAATTCTCCTTGCCATAACTCCCGCCCTTGACAGCAGGCACCAATGGCTGCACTGTAGCTGAAAATGGAAACTCGAAGGTCTGCTTCAAGCATGGTCTCAAATAACTTTAGACCATGCTGCCACAAAGTCCGCTTGGTACATGATGAAATCCTGAGATCTTGGGGGCATACGGCTTCAGCCGTACCCTGGCGGTGGAAGGTGGGACTACATGCTGTTGATACCCCCGGAAGCGAAGGAAGAACAGGTCGCTTCAGCAGGAAAAACACGTCCGTTCCTTTCGGTTCTACCGATTTACAAAGATAAAACCATCTGAGTTCCTGGGGACCAGGTGTGCTCAACCTGTGAAAAGGGAAAGTTATATAGAGTGTCCCAGTTTTGTGTCGCAGGTTTCTACATTCAGTATCAAACTCCGAGGCAAGCTGAACCAAAGAAAGTTCAAAAAGGTCGAACACATCTGGTCAACTGGCTTTGACTTGTTAGTCAAATGTTATATTTCTTTGATTCATAGAGCCTTTGGCCATTGCGAAGGGTCATGCTCGTCCATGTGTCTTTTTCCGGGAGAAAACACACATGTCTCATACCCATGCCCATACTTTTGGGCAGAATCCAACACCTGATGTTTTTTGTTCATCAGAAAGGAACACCAACACGTTAGTGATGTCATTATCATTTTTCTCAGAAAAAAACACAAGAACATGAAACAAACAACAACATACAAAACACACTCTGACAATTGTATTCAGTTAACTCAGTTCCCAGGTCAA